TTCAGCTTTTAACAAACACTTTGTCATATTTTGTGTTTTTGTTTTATGTGCATCTCTATTTTGTCAGCGGAGAGAATCTTAAATCCCTCATGAGTCGCCTCGGTTGTGTAAAACATGTTTATTTCCCGTCAGAGGTGCTGTTATTAATCTTCATAGCTCTGATTCCTCAGTGATCTTTGCTTCTGTGCCGTTTGTGCTTTCAGATGGCTCCTCCGCAGCTCACATAGCTGTGTTTTAGGAAAGTGACATCTTAATAGCACCTGAGCCGGCAAGTTTCAACATCTTGATTAAATGAGATTGGTCACAATGTCGTAAAAGTATCGGGACATAATTCCTAACCAGTAAAAGGCAGAGAACTGTTGTCTTGACTTTTAGTTAATCTTTCTTTTTAGATATTTTAAGATCTTTAATTCCACATGTCAACTTTTAATAAAAGGTATAGCCAGCACGCTGTCTTGAAACGGGATGAAAATTGGAAATCGAACATGTTGTTAGTGTGTAAAACATTACAAGAATGGAACCAGACAAGAAAGCTCATTTGTGTAAAGAAACGTGTTGAGGAACCATATCGTGAAAGCATTGAGTTTTGATGAATGTAAAACTGTTCTATCTCAAAAATAGCATGAGAAAAACTTTCTACATAAAACAACGTTTAATAAATGATGTAGCAAAAGCTGCTTCTCTGCATTACTTAAAACTGAATCCACCTCGTAGATTGTGACTCTATAACCTCATTTAAAAACTTGTGGTAACTTCCAAGGAAATAAGTTAAACAGATGGAAAATAAAATCTGCACATTCCTAAAATAGCACCATGTTTGAAGTGGAACTGAAATGATTTTTTGTGGTTGCATAAGCTAAAATTCTAACAGGCAAAACAGCTCTAAATAATTTGCCAGCCTGGTGGAGAGCTATTCTCATTTTTAAGACATACTGCTGCTCTGAGCACGCTGTAGTTGTCTATGATACCCGTTTTGTCATTTAGCTGAGATACTCATAAGAGACTCATATTCGAGCTTTAAACAAGAGAGAGCCAGCCAGACTTCTCCCTCTTTACGGCCGCACGGAGACAATGGAGCACCTCAGCGCACTGTGTGTCTGACTGAGCGTGCAAGTCAATTTACGTCCCTGATTCCCATCACAGAGACTCATGGAGGCGTTTAGCATGTGGCCCTGTCTATAAACCTTCAGTTTTAACGCAGATTCAGTTCATCATGTTGTGTATCATATCTCCTCTGTGCAGTCAAAACCTTCTTCTTTCCCCTCTGTGTGTTTGTGTATGCCAAGGACATCAAAGACGATGCCACCCCAGGGTGCCACCACAATCTTACTGTGTGTGTCTAAGAATCTGGGCTGGGCCGGGTGTGTGTGTGTGTGTGTGTGTGTGTGTGTGTGTGTGTGTGTGTGATGATGGTCAGGTCAGGGGATAACATTTATGAGTAGCTGTAAGGTGTTCTGCTTTGTGGCGTCATGTATGTTAATGGCCCTTCACTTATAGACACATAATGAGGTTCCTCCTGCATCATTCAGCCCTGTGTGCATATTTCATGAAAGTGACAGCAGATTGTATCAAGTATGTCAGAGGGGATGAGCTACACGCTGTATAAATAGCACACATTTATGCTATACAGAACAATATGGGTCATGTATGAAGAGTCATTCTGTATGAAAAACTCTTTGAACATTAGTAGAGTAAACAAGATTCACTGCCCTGTGTCACTTTGGATCCTCAATCAGCTGAACAGTGCATCGTTTTTCATGCACTTTTATCCAACTTGCACATAAAAACAGTTGAAAAGAAGGAAAAGTTGTAGCCTCAATAAAAGTAATATGTGACAAAAGCGCAATGGAAACAGCGATTCAGAAGTGAATGAATAATAAATGTCACTTAAACATCCACTAAAGCTTCGACTCGACTGCAGAGAGACGAGGAAACAGAGCAGATGAAAACAGCAGATCGGTGCAGAGCGATGAGGAGACTGTGACCTTCCTCAAATGCAGTGAATCTCAACATGCAGGGAGGGGGCAGGGACCACACGGGAATTTGAATGAATATGATTTGGGTGACGGCAATAAAAAAACAAAAAAAAACAATAGAGTCCTGGCACTATGATACTACACAGCCTGCCCTGCTAACCTGAATCCCTTTTTTTAATCCATTACAATTCAACCCGACTTGCGTTACTCGTAGTTTCTCCAGTATTGTGAAAGATTGACAGAAATATACCAGTTTACATGAGGATTAGACAGTATGATTATTCCTTTCATCTACGGATGGGATCATGACTGAAGAAGTTTCAGAACCAATGACCAAATAAATGCATTCAACACACATAGAATCCATCATTAGAAGAGGTTTCAGGTTTGACTCTCTTACACATCATCTTATGAGCTCCTTTCATGCAGCAACAACAGCAGTGGAAATGTACATTGTTTTCAATTTTCCTTGCTGATTATCTTGATCCCTGATCGGGGTTGGTATGGTGTTGTTCATTTATAGGCAGGATGAAATAGAAAAAAATGGCGGTGTGTCCAATTTGCTTGTTGACCTCTATGTATTCATAGTCATTTCTGGTAATGCAGTGGATACGATCTCAGCTAATTTAAATATAAAACTGAGTGTTGTCTTTATACATCTTTGTGAAACAGTTTTAATTTCCCTTAAAAAATATTGACTTACAGGTGCTGGGGGAGCAGTGGTTAGTGCGCGCGCCCCATGTACAGAGGCTATTCCCACATGTCATTTTCTATTCTCTCTCTCTCTGATTTTTGACTCTATCCACTGTCCTATCTCTTCATTAAATCTTTAAAGAAAAAAAAAAATATAAAAATATATATATATATATATATATATATATATATATATTGACTTAAAGTAAAATATATACCGGCTTATCCCGTCCTGCACGTTACTGTTTCAAAAGTTTCACATTCAGGTAATTTAATGACGATTAGACGCAAATAGATCTAGTGCATCATCAGAAATGCCACCGCTTGTTAGCTTTCTTCCTGTGAAAAATACATTCATTTATGTTTTAATTACCAAATGACATTGTGTGACAAAGTATCCACAAGAATATAACTAAAACTGTTAGGATTTCAGCTGTCCCTAAAAAAAGATTGGAGGTCCAAAAGTCAAATATAATTCGACAACGTAATTCATCAGGAAATACAACTTTGCAAAGGGAAAAGTCACAGCTAAAAGTTTTTAGACAAGACAGAGCGTGTGAAAAGATTTTGAAGATGAAAATGAAAGTGACACTTCCTCCCCAACCTCTCGCTTTTCACAGGGCTCATGTCAAAGCTTGTAGTCTAGCAGGTAACTTGATATTTAGGAAACTTTCTGTAAAATAGAAACTCACTATTCTCCAACAAATGTCAGTTTTTTGACATGTGTCCATTGTGGTAGAAGAATACACTTTCTGACATAGGATTTAAAATGTTCCTTTTTTTCCTCTGGAACTTAGGATGCAACTCCATGACAAAGTGTTGCCAAGTATAGCCTCTTTCATATGTACGCGCTTGAGAAGAAGTGCATGTGTGAAAGAGGCTATACTGTGAAACTCAGCCTGCCAATGGAAGGAGGCCGGACAAGATGTAAAAAGGACGCAATGGAGGACACTGTGTGATGCTTAACACATCCAAAATGATATGATTCCAGTGTTAGACTTTATATAAATGTTATGTGTCATTGGACGTATTTTCAGTATCAACTAATTAGTGGAATAAAACATTCTAGCAGGAGAAAAGAGTAGGGAGAAAATCTATTTTGTGCACGAGTTCAAACAGGTCGCACAATGTAAACATAATCCCCCTAAACCAGTCGATTGCAGTGAATATGACCTGCTGCATTCACATATTTCGCTCACTCTGGCTTCAATAATTCTAGGAGGATGGCAGGAGAAATTTGGGGTTCAAATTAGCCTATTTTCATTCACACATGCAGCTCACCCAGACAATTCTGGAAAATGTCCACCTCTCCATTCTTTTGGCACTTTATGTCAGTATCATGTCAGCTGTAGTTGCTGTTATAAAACAGCAGCTGGCCTGTGCATGAAGTTGGGACATTTGCTCTGTATTAAAGGAGGACTTTATCACTGCATCAATGCTGCGTTCATTTACTGTTCGTATTTGATCTATTTTTTAATCATGTACCTTTTAGATCAATAACAAAATCTCTTATCACTTAGATTTTAAACCTTATCCAGTAACATTTAGGAAGAAGACACCAGCCTGGATACTCTATACAATACTAGCAGTGTGTCAATCAGTAACACTCACTCTACGAGGCCACTACCTTCGTGCTCTGACAAAAAAAAACATGCTGGAGACCAAACAGCATTCCATTAAATACTTGATGCAGCCACACACAAAGTCAATACCTTTGCATCTTTGAAACGTCCCAGTGGATTCATAAAGCTGCTGACCCGGATAGCTCACAGCTTGTGGAGAGAGTGTAGTTATTTTGAGTGAATGTCAGCTGCAGTGTGCACTTCACAGCACATACGGACAGAGACATGGTGTAGGTGAGTTGTCTTTAGTATGGAAATCTGTGCAGAGTGCAGCTACATGGATACAGAATGACCCAAGTCAGGGTCCGGTGGGAGAGAAGGAACATGACTGAAGCAGAGTGTGCCAGAAAAACCTCTGCATGTGGAATTAGTTCCAGTCATGAGGAAGAGAGACGAGGAGGAGGAGGAGGAGGACTTGCACTTGCTGCACTAGCGCAAGAGCAGCAAGCTTCTCAGCACTGGTATGTGAACAGCACACCAGGTTGTGTGTGCGTCAGGGTGTGCATGCATATTGTGTGCATGTGTATGTTCATGGGTAAGGAATATCTGGTAGATGGTAGGGCATGATTGGTGTGCGCACAAGGGAGGAAAGGGCTGCCAAGCACTGATTGGTTGTTCTCCCTCGTAGGGTGTGGCCAGAATATGAATGACTGCTCCTGGCTTTCGCGCTGCCAGGTTTTGGGGACAGTTAGCGAGGAGGGATGGGGTGTTTGAGATTGTTCGTGTGGAGCTTGTGAGAGAAGAGAGGAAAGAAAAGGGGAGGAGGAGGGGGGAACAGAGAGAGAAAGAGAACAGGAGCTTGTGAAGAGAGAGAGAGAGAGAGAGAGGGAGGGAGCTGGAGGCTGCGAGGCTGGACTACCCGCTCAAACACTGCAGTCTTTTCTTTGGCTTCTCTGAGGAAACTGTCTTTCTCTTCTCCCTGCTTATCTCTGCCTCTTTTTTTTTTTGTTGCTTCTTGGACATGACCCCACTGGACACCTGGCTTTCTTTGCCACCGTAGAGAAAAGGAAAGGAATGCTGTAGTGGAGAAAAGGGAGAGACGAGAAGAGGGGACACCAGCGCACACTTTGCCTCACTGATGAGTGTCTGGAAATTAATTAACAGCCGCTGGCAGAGAGGGGGGAGCGCACAGAGGGGCTCAGAGTGAGGAGCAGGACGACAATAAGAGGGCGAGTTGATAGATGTGTGAAGAGCAGGCTGAGGAAAGAGGCTGAGACACTTTTTCAGCGGCAAAAAGGACAAGTTAGGGAAAAGAAGCGAGGGTTATCCAAAGAACGCTCTGCTCTCATGCCTTATTCATCCTTTCATGATTCTTTTAATTTGTCTTTTTCTCATTCATAACACCATCCTTCCCTGTCATTTATTTTGCTTGTTAAGTTCTGTCCCTGCTTTCTTTTTTTCCTCGTGTCAGCAAAAGCACACCAGCCACATGCTGAACAATCAGCCGACACTTAGGACCACAGCGTAGCAATTTTCATTCTAAGCGGACGTTACGAGTAAGAAGGAGTTGATTGGCTGAAGTAGGGGTGCTGTTCCCTCCCGGCTGAGGGCACCTGCTCAGGAATTTCTCATGAGACGAGGTAGGACGCTTCTGGATCATTTTAGCAACCCAAAGCAGCCGGAGCGGTCGAGTCGAAGCCCTCCAGTCTTTCTACCTGATTGAACTGTTAAGAGATGAAACTGCACACCAGCTTATCTCTTCCAGCGTGACGCCTGTGTTTGAGCGATTACGGGGATGTGCAGATGTGTGTGTGTGTGTTGGGATTATGCCCTAAATACACAGATATACAGGTGTTGCAGCTGGATTATGCAAAGTCTCTTGCTCAATATAGTGGCACTGTAGGATTAGGAGGAACTCTGATCAAGTGAATGGCGGCACATTATATACCACAGATGAACTCGGATTAAGAGGGATCTCGCGTAATTAAATCAGCCTCTCTAGGGAGTGAAAGGGGTCGTTATCATTTTGAGTTGAAGTGGAGTTAGGTTGAAATATCTCCAAAACCCGTCCCTCAGCCCTCAATGGAATAACTTCCGGTCCCTTGTTGTGGACTTTTCTCAAACCTGAAGTACTCAGAGTGACAATCAAAGACTTTTTAAGACTCGTTCAGCTTCCATAATGAGACGCTCAAGCACAGACGAGACTCCGTACCGACGGAGTCCATCTCTGGACAGCAAACCCGACACGCCGCCGTTCAGTTCCGGGTTTCACCGCTTCAGTGGGGAGTTTGAGTACAAGCGGCCACCATTTGCGTTTGGCTTCCACACGACAAAGGGGCCACAGACGTCCAAGGGGCGCTATTCACAGGGGAAGAAGTATGTGGTGTTTTATCTGGACCTCTCCTTCATATTCCTCCTAGAACTTCGGCGCTGCAGGATGGCCGAGGGTTGCATGATGGCCCTGCGATACGGAATGGTCTTCTTCAACCTCCTCTTCTGGGTGAGTCCATCATCTTGAATTTTCCCATCTTGAATTGTTTTGTATTTGTTGGCGGAAAGTGTCGCTGTGCTTTCTTGACTTTTCCCCTCTCTGTTACTCATATTTCTCCTGTCTCGTTTGGAGGATGCTGTGATCTGTGTGTATGTGTGCAGCCAGAGTGGTGTGAGAGAAGTGAGGAAGGGGGGAGTGTGAGGAAGAGACAGATCATGCATTTAGATCGTGTGCACTGTGTGGGTGAGCCAGCTTTTTCTGTTCCCTATACTATACCCCGAGTGTGGGCGTACTCTGCTTCTTCCGTGCAAAGCTTTGGGATTTTTGGAACTTGCATTGTGTGTAAACTAGCTAATCACAGTGTTACCGTTGTGCTTCAATTCTTCACCTTACCTCCGCTTCACCCTCCTCCCCTCCCTGCACAACAAACACCCCTCGGCCAATCAAAGCATCTGCTGTCAATCTTCTCTATCTGCCTGATGGTATCTGTGCGCCGTGGGGACGTTTGATTCTCAGTGTCTATCTGCTTCTGTCAATCCCGCTCAGATAGCCTCACAACAGATCACTTTCACTTGCAGTGTGAGGCCTGGCATGATCCACAGGGTGGATCACGGGTGTCACATTAAAAGAGCTCCATCTCTGCTTCATCAGCATTTCTTTTTGTTTTTGTTTTTTTTCCTGCAGACTCTTTTTGTGCAATACAATCTAAGTTTTTCCAGAGTTCTGAAGGAGATGATAGCCACTGTGGTTAGCTTGCTGGGACTACTTTGATTTGTCTTACTTGTGGTCGTACTGGTAATAGAATGGGATGAGGCCTTGAACTATGAAATGCAATCTAGGTGCAGAGATGCAATCTCCCTCTGGGAATGAGTGACCTCTTCACCTCCACATCTTCTGTCAGCAATAAAACGTCAAAGAAGGGTGGTGGTCTTTCTTATTAGGGAACTGTGTGTGTGTGTGTGTGTGTGTGTGTGTGTGTGTGTGTGTGTGTGTGTGTGTGTGTGTGTTGCCTCTGGGGGTAAATAATGACCACATTACCACGAAAGGCCTTCTCCTCTTAAGCAGCCAATCCTGTTATGAACCTCCAGGTAAAAAACACACAATCTCTTCCAATATAGCGCCTGTCTTTGAAAATGAAATTTTCAGTAGCAGCTGACTGCAAATGTCAGACCTCAATGTTTCACCATTTCAGGAGCAATTTACAAGCTGTTTCATGTCGATCCAACCTAGATTCTTCACATCTCATTCAAAATTTAGACTTCTAAGCGGGTGACTTTGTAGGTGCTGAACATGACCTCAATATTCTGTCAACAGCAGAGGAGGCGGGACAGCTCCTCCGAGCCCCGACAGTCAACACAGATTACATGAACAGTGGGCCAATCAAAATATGTTTGATTTGAGCTGTACTTTCACTTCCACCGTGGAACAGCAAATGAAGGTTCACATCCTGCAGGGAAAAGAGGAGCACAGCAGGGGAGCTCATTAACAACAGCACTCTCATATATAGATTACTTACATCAGTGAGTTTCCAAAGTCCACACACTCAATACGCTCTGACTCAGTTTCCGAGGAGGGGATCTCCTCTCAAATCGCACTACTTTAATCAGTCAAAAAAAATGGTAATATCATGTTCATATAGAGGAATGTAAAGAGCAGCTTCTGAAATATGCAGTGGGATAAAAAGAATGTATTATGAGCCTTCTTACAAAGTGAAAAGAGTGGTTGGTCCAAGTTTTTTGAGTCTTTTAGTTTGACTTTGGTAGAGATAGAGTTTGTGTATGTTTCTTAACTAGTTTACCTGATCCTTAAACCTGAGACTCAGACAAGAGGCCCTGCATACAAAAAACTGGTCAGACTGTGTAGAACATGGACATAGCCTCAGTGATGTCATCCTTAGGTAACTGAAGGGGGATTTTTTAAGTTTCTGTACCAGGCTGTTCACGTCATTATTTCTCCTGACAAAATGGGCATTTTCACATAGGTGTGTATGTGACTTCCTGGACTGATTGCATTGATCCCAAACAGGGAAATTGTTGTGTCACAGCAGCAGGTTATCAGAGAAAATAAAACAAATAATGCAACAAATAATTGCCTCAAATATATTATATAGAGTTGTTTATGTACCTTTGTGTGTTTCATAGAAAATAGTTTGATTCAGAGCTTTTAGGGTGTAAAATGCCAAAACCTTTTAAATCCGGAGCATGATGTGTACTGAAGTCAGATTGTCCAATATTTTGTGACGAGAACAGAAAGCTCTCTGTCACACACATATTGAAAGTGTCCTTCCAGCAGAGGTGATAGAAAAAAGGAGATGAAGAATCCAGTCATTACATGCATATGTGCTTTGGCAAGTTTGTCTAAAATGACAGAAACTGCCATGGAGAGAACTTCAGGCAGGAAATAAAGAAAGTATAACAAGCACTTTTCCAACTAAAGATGAACTCTGTGAACTGCAAAGTAAAAATAAATACAGCACAGCTAGCGGCAGAAAATGGATTTCATAAATAAAATAATCTCAACAATTAGTATGAAAAAAAGACATTAAACCCACTGACACTGAAAACCTCTTTTACAACATTATGTTTCCTGGTGTGGTAACATAAAAACCACACCAGGAGGGCAGCGTCAATGAAAAAGAAAAAAAAAAAATCTAAAGCTGCGTCAGCCAGGAGGTCTTGATGTACAAAAAGTTGTCATGTTGCAGAAACACATTGACTGCTACATTAATGAGGGAGAAACGACTTTCACACTGAGAAATAAGCGTTAATTCCCATGTTGAGTTTTAGAAATACATTCAAAGTCTCACTTGGAACTGTTAAAGTTACACCATTTGGCTGTGAAGGTATATATTCCACACGCTGTGTGAGAAGACAGCTGGAGACATGACAGGCTATACATATCCGCCTGAAAATGTACTGTACAAGTTGTCTTTAATACTTAATGCCTGTGGGCTTCAAAAGGGGCTCTGAAAGGTTCGTATCTTTGCTGAGCTGTGGTCAGCTCAGATTTCACAGCAGTTAGGACTGAAGTGACAACCAAGAGTTATGAAATAAAAAACATCACATCTTCCGGAGGTCACAGAGTGCTCAGCTTTAAATCTCTTCCTTACACTGCGAGCTGCTCTTGTCCTTTACTGTTGCTCCATTTAACATGTTTTTGTTTTCTGATATTATTGTTATCATTGGTACCCTTTGTAGGCTTAGACTCAAATTTTCATTAGAAATAGTTTTTCTGTGTTAAGCTCATGTCAAGTTTTCAATTTTTAATTTGATTTTTTCACACTCATTGTAGACAGTCATGACTCACAGAGTTATTTTCAGAGCATAAACTTGATTTCTGCTACATATAAATGTGAAAAATCGCATATTCTTCCTTTAAGATAACGTTATGCCCAAAGACGGAAGCAACCTAAATAGTATGAAATTGAAGAAAATAAGTCAAGAGTCCTTGTGGAGTGTGAGGTGTCTCCTTGTGGTCATGTGGGTACCTGGTTTACCAATATTGAAGGCAAACCTCCTGGCTTTGTTTTCCTCTCAGCTTGATATCACAGCGCTTCCTCATGGTGGGCAGCAAACTGCCAATCACACATGCTGAGCAGCCCTGAGAGCTGCAGGAGGCGGAGGAGAATCAAACAGTGGTGGAAGAGGTCAGGAGGCTTTTTGTTACTGAGGCTGGTGAAATAAGACCAGAAGGTGTGAGACTTTGACTTTCTCTGGGTTTTCTTAGATTCCTTTCTGGATTAAACTGGTGATCTTTTTGTTTCTTTTTGTACTATGGGGATCAGAGAGACTACAGAGATTTTGTTGTGGCGACCAGCGCATTAAAGTAAACACAGGTATGAACAGATATGTGTTAAAAACATGGGGTTCACTCTCTCTCTCTCTTTTGATTCAATCAATACCAAGATTTATGAGGTACACCTACACCCGATTTAACTAGAGATATTGTCATGGTTTACTCTTGTTTAGTTTGTTAATTCATCGTTTTGTTCATGACAGATATTTTTTAATGGTAGAAATTCAAAACATTTCAAATTACCCCAACAGGCTCTGAGCTTCATATTTATGTAGGGTTTTGAAATAAATCTAGCTTCCATCACCTGAATCTGTGGGGGCGACTACAGAAAATGGCAATCACTTTACAATAATGTGCAGTAAATGAAAAGATAAGTTGATCCTGTGGGCATGTTTTCTTTCACTAAGACATGGATTAGTTACAAGACATATTATGAACGCAGAGATATGTCATTTATTCTCTAACGAATGAGAGAGAAATGAACTCAAGGGAGAAGAAGTTTCTGTTTCCACTGCACAACGTGTGGTTTTAAGAATACTGTATTCAGAGTAGGTTATACTTCACTAAATGTAGTTTTCTCGAACACTAGTTACTAGATCCATAATTGATCTCTCGGGAAGGATTAAAAGAAAGTCATGCTGGATATGTCATCGTTTTGCATCAGTTTGTCTGCAGCAGGTGCCCCCAGGAGAGGTCCAATTATCTGCCTCCTCCTTTAAACACCGACAAACCATCAGGTATCAGGTAATAAAGGTCAAATATGGAAGAACCAGTAAAGAAATTAAACTCTGCACAATCTATACTTGATCATATAGATTGTGCCGATTTTATATACATTTTACATACTTGATATACTTAGGTTGCTGTGGTTCAGTGGTGGAGTCGGTCGTCTCTCAATCGAAAGTTTGGGGGTTCGATTCCCAGCTCCTGCAGCCACATGCTAAAGTGGGTACAATGCTGAACCCCTAATTGCTCTGCCAGCTGGGTGTGAAAGTGTATGAAAGGATTAGTTAATACTGATGGACACCTTACATAGCAGAGCCTGCTGTCAATCTGTGAGCGGGTGAATGTGGTGTCAAAAGCGCTGCGAGTCGTCAAAAGACTACAAAAGCTCAAGTCCACTTTACCATTTTTATCACAGTGCAAGTTTTATTCAAATGCTGTGACAGACCCTTCAACTCTGTTTTAAGTATGCTGCAACAATACGTTTTACA